TAGAAGATTCAATCCCATCAAATCAGGGATTAGATTTAAACGGAAGATCTAGAAAATCTATAGTATTCTCATCTCCTATCTTTGTGATAATCAGTTAGGTTAGACTAGTATTTATACTAGCTTCTCTCATTAGTTGAAAGTTGATTATTTGTATTGTATTCCGAGTAAGAGAGTTTATGTAGAGAGATCTGAGAGTTCTTGGAGAGGATTCAGAATATTTGTTATTTTTGAATCACTGTACTTGTTCTCTTTGTGAGAACATTCTTAGTGAAAAACCCGACAAATAAAATTGGTTTTTATTTGTTAAATACTTGTGTTATTATTCCGTGTTTCTATTTGTCGGGTTTTTCACTAAGAATGTTCTCACTATGTTGTGCAAGATTCGTACTTGTTCTATGTTATGCAAGATTCGTATTCAAGTGTTAGGGTTTGGGAGCTTCGTGCGGTAGCTAACAAACCCTAGGAGCATTCCAGTTACGGACTAAGAGAGACTCGTACTGTGGGCTCGGGAGCATTCCAGTTATTCGCTGCAGCAGACTTCGAGGACGAAGTCTAGGTCAAGTAGGGTAGAATTGTAACGCCCCGATTCTCAGGTATTGATTTAATGTGTGAGTTCTTGATTTCCAGGGCTACTCGACGAGTTGATTGCCCTACTCGTCGAGTAGCAGCGGGTTAGTCCACGTATTTTAATGACCTACTCGCCGAGTCCAAGAAAGGACTCGACGAGTAGGAGCTGGCGGATGAAACCCTAAATCTCGGGGTTTAGCACCCTATTTAAAGGATCATTGGCCTCCCCCAACCTCCCCTTTACTGCTTCTTGTCCCTCTCAAACCCTAATCGAGTGTGTGTGTTCCATTTGTGTATTTTTGAGCTTGGAAGAGGATTTTGTGGAGAAGGGAGCTTGGAGAGCAAGTATTCACAAGCAAGGAGCTTGTGGGATCTGAAATCTACCTTATTGGGCATCTTCTGGAAGGTATAAATCGTTACCCTGACCTCATTTCCTTCTAGATCCCCTCTTAGGACAAACTCTACGGTTTTCATGGTATGATTGGAAGTTATTCTTGTGTGTAAGCTAAGATCTGAAGTTGTAACTTCATAACTGAGCTCCCTTGGGCTTCTTAGTCCATAAAGTTTCCAGCTGGTGCAAGAATGAGACTCCCCCAAGGTGTAAAGCCCCATTGGAAGCTTAGATTGGTCATTTAGGGCCTTTAGAGCCTTGCATGTGCGTAAAGTTTGCAACTTTATGTGATAAACATGCCTTAGAAGCTTGGATCTGTAATCTGGAACCTTGCCTTGGCTTAAAAAGCGTCTTCATGGATGAAGGTCTGTAAGGACTCGGCGAGTTGGATGAACAAATCGGCGAGCCCGTTGAAGATGACCATGAACTCGACGAGTTGGATGAACAACTCGACGAGTCCGTTGAAGATTGCCTTGAACTCGACGAGTCGTTCGAAGACTCGGCGAGTCGGCTAGTGTTCTCCCAATTCTTGAACACGTATGAACTCGGCGAGTTAAAGGGGAACTCGACGAGCCAATCAAGGATTTCACGACTTCTCGATTTCAGGAAGGACTCGACGAGTCGGTGAACTGCACTCGACGAGTCGAGTCAACATGGACTGTTGACTTTGACCGTGGACTTTGACTTGGACCAAGGGTTGACCAGTTGACTTCTGAGGGTATTTTGGTAATTTGGAGATTTATGAAAAAGAGTTTTATGGTAACTATAGGTGGTGGAGTTCGTGTTGGTGATCTGGGAGTTGAGCTTTCTAGTTTCAAACGACAGTTGCAAGGTGAGTTATCCTAGGAGCTGGTATAATTGGCACTACTTTTACTCGTTGCAATCGCAATGGTTGAGATATGCTTGTCGGCTACGAAACTTGTGAAATCCGAACGGCGATGATTTTATGAATATTTGATTTGTGACTTGAAAAAAAACAAAAGAACTAGCAAATATTACAAATATTACAAATTGAGTTGTAATTTATCGTTTCCAAAACGTGGCAAGTCCTAAATGACACTTATAATATCTATTCGAACATTTTTTTAATATAACTTTGTTACCGGTTTAAAACATTTTCAACCTTCAAATTGGTTTCTATAAAATAATTTCTCCAAACCATTTATATGAAGTTTTTAATAAGTGGTTTATTTCTAACTTTTTACCATTATAATGAAACTCACATTTTCTTTTCTTTCGGGTCATCTTTTTTTTTTTTAGTTATTTTAATGTGAAACACTAAAAAAATAACTTATAGCTTTACAACAACACATAAAATAATTTAAACACTTTTAAAAAAAATCTTATTTTACTACCACATAAACTAATAAACATTTTTAATATATATATATATATATATATATATATATATATATATATATATATATATATATATATATAAGAGAGAGAGAGAGAGAGAGATGAGGGTTCAATTGAGAAAAAAAAAGGTTGAGAATGAGGGAATCATTCTCAGCCAATCATTTAATCTAAGTATAAAAAGACACGTTGGCATACTTGTAAATATGATAATAACTTTCAATCTCAAATACGTAATTGTATAGAAATAGATAACAGTTCAAACCCATTTCAAATCGATCGTTCATCATCCAAACTTCTCCTCCAAGCTTCAACAATCATCCATATTTCTTCAATTAAACCATCATCAACATCATCCAGTGTTAATCAATCATCGATCTTCGTCAATAACATGTTTATCAACACGATTCAACAGTTAACAACAAAAAATCGTTTTTGGTTCTTTTAATCTAACCTTCAATTCTGCTTGAATACGATCAGATCTTCAACATCTACGATTAATTATACTCCCAGCGTCATTAGATCAACATCATTGATAATCAACAAAAAATCCACTTCATATCATTCATTCAACATCGATTATCAAATAAAACTTCAAAATTGAGGTTAGAAAAAGATCAAATCGTTTTTTTTTTGAAAAATTTCATATAATTCTCTATCAATCTACTATTTTGTAAGATTTAAATAGTCAAAGTATCATGTTTTTAACATTTTAAAAAAAGTTAACTTGTATGCACTCCAACTGTTTGATGAAATGCATAAACTAAATTACCACGTTATATTCATATATGAATATGTTTTCTCACCTGAATCAGTATATGATTATTAAAACAAAAAAACAAATATGCAAGTCTGTATGTTATTCATATGTGAATAACATATAAAAATTATATATATTTGTGAAAACACCTTGTAATATTCATATATGAATATACTGTGTAATATTCATAAGTGAATATATCATCTAATATTCACAAGTGAATATACTATGTAATATTCACATGTGATATACCATGTAATACTATGTAATATTAAGATATGAAAATATTATCTAATATTCATAAGTGAATATACCATCTAATATTCACAAGTGAATATACTATGTAATATTCACAAGTGAATGCATTGTCTAATATTTAAATATGAATATATTATGTTTATTATATGCTATATTCATATATGAATGATACTTAAATTGTAAAAAAAAAAAAAAATCATACTTTTTATTCATAAGTGAATAACGAATGTACTGTAGTAAAAACTTGATGCATTTTTATTCACTTATGAATAACGATAGCTGAAAATATAAAAAAAATAAATTTTTTATTTTATCTTAAAACTATATCAATATGAATGTCTATTTGTAGAGAATAAAAAATCATGAATTTTGGTATATTTAAAATCATTTTTCGATAAAAATATCTTCTTAAAAATTAAAAAAACGAAAAAAATTATGTTTTTGTATATATTAAGGTAATGATTAACATAGTTTAAGGAAACATGTTTTGTTGGAAAACACATGTCTATTCCTTTCCCATTTCCGCTGATACGACGGAGACTTTTGCGGCAAAATAAATGAGTGGCTGAGAATGATTCCCTTATTCTCAACCTTTTTTATTTTCTCAATTGAACTTACCCCTCTCTCTCTCTCTCTCTCTCTATATATATATATATATATATATATATATATATAATATATATATATATATATATATATATATATATCCCAAACATCTTTTTTACTAAAAAAATAACTTATACTTTAACACATAAAATAATTTAAACACCTTTAAAAAAATCTTATTTTACTACGACGTAAACTAATAAACATTTTTAATATATATATATATATATATATATATATATATATATATATATATATATATATATATATATCCTTCCTAATAAATAAAGAACTTTTTTGCCACTTGTCACCTAATGGTCACATGTCATTTTGTGGTTATTTTCAATTAATTTTTTTCCACATGGCATTTTGTGATCTTTTTATTTTATTGATTTCCACATAATATTTAATGTAATAATTGCAATAAATGTAATAATAAATGCATATCAATTTCATTAATAGACTTCCTTCTAACTTCAAATTTTCAAAATTAAAGTTTCATTAGTTTCCTTTGTTTATTTATCTAAATTATTTGTTTAATTTAAAAGAAAAACAAACAATTTAATTTTAACAATCCCAAACATCTCCAAAGTTTTATGAAAACAAAAGATTTGAATGTACCAATCAAGAAATTGTCTGGTGGAGGACACCCTAAAACACACCATTAGCGTCCTTTGTTGTAAATTAGAATTACTTTTCATATGGATTATCTAATAAACACATTATTATGATACAAATATAAAACAATTGAATTTTAATCGATAATATGGTCATGCCTTCCATATGATTAGGTCCGATACAGTAAATTACTAATCAAAGAGACGAAACAACATTTCTTTTCGTGGTCTTTTAGGCAAAAACTAGAACGAGAAAAATCATTTTAATACGTTAATTTAAGCATACACAAATACTTTTAAATTTCTATTATCAAATATCAACCCATCTATCTATTACAATGCAATTATTACTATACAATTATAATATATATTTATTATAAAAATCTGTATATCTCTAATATTATATTCATTACAATATATCTACCATTATATATTCCAAACCAATATGTTGAAAAGCTTCAATGGAAGTTGAAGACAAAACACCAATCATCCACCCAACTCTATCATGTGCTATCATTAATCAAGTATAAATAAGTGGTGAACTACAAGATTACTTTGTAAATCGTTCTTCTTCTTCTTGATCAATGCCTTCACCATCATCCTCATCACCATTGCCGGAAAATGATGTCAGAAAAGCCCTTGATCACCACTCTCCACCACCATCACTGCAATCGAAATCTGGCCAACGAAAGCCAGGTGGCTGGAAGTCCATGCCTTATGTACTAGGTAACAAGAAACAAAAACAATTGGGTTAAATATCCATTTATGCTTTTGACTTTTTAATAATCATATTTGATCTTATGTTTACAAAAGAAAGAACTAAATTTTTTAAGATTAAGCTATTTTCAAGGGTAAGACCAAATTTGACAAATGAAATTCATATTTTGCTATTTACCGAAAGTTATGTTAGTGCTTGCAAATACTATGAAATGATCTCTAACTTATATTCTAATTTGCATCACTATATACAAATAGAAATTGTTCAGGATCATATTACATAACCATTAATTCTTAAGTGTATCTTAATTGTTATTTCGTGAATAATTGTGCAGGAATGGAGTCATTTGAGAGGTTGGCAACAATCGGGTTATTAGCAAACTTTACAGTGTTTTTAATGACTGTTTTTCACATGACTCAAGTATCATCATCATATTTGATATATATTTGGTCTGGAATTGGCAATTTTGCTCCTCTCATCGGAGCCTATATCTCTGATGCACACGTCGGAAAGTTTTGGGTCATTGCTTTCGCTTCCTTTGCTTCGCTTATCGTACGTTTTGATCCTTCCTCTTCACAGTTTTACATACATGCAAGCGCAGTTTTGTCTTTTCACAAACGTTGTGTGATTGTGTCCATTGAAAATATTTTACTTTTATTATTTTCGTTCAACAAACGTTGTCATATCATTAAATTAAACAATAAATTCCTGACATCATGCAATATTTACTATCTATTTATTTTAGCCCGACACGCATATCAATAGCTACCGATCAAAAGATAGGGACGGGCCAGTATACATTTATATCAAGGCCCCACCCCACCTGAACAATAAATATAAATATCAAAAATACAATTACTATATAATCTTAAAGTTATTTTCTTATATTTTACTTGTATGTTTTAATATAAAAAACAAAACACCTTTAGTACTCTATCGTGCCTTAAAAATAGACGTTTCATTCTCAGATTTTATATTGCTTCAATAACTTATTTTTTTTGTCTACGGATTTCACTTAAATCTACGCCTAGTTTACCAATTCTAAGTTTATCTCAAACAATCTGGTCTAAATATAAAATGAAATTTTAGGTTTCATGCTTTTTACTTGCATATTATTCCAAATCAAAGCGTGGGATTAGTGTTTTTGTAACGATATTTAACATGCAATAAAAAATCATATACGTGCAAATTTTGATAACTTTTATTGCGATGGTCAACAGGGAATGGTGATTTTGACCCTAATAGTGGCTATACCAGGCTTACACCCACCTCCATGCACCCATCAACAAGCCCAGCTCAACCAGTGCCAGGGTCCAACCAAGGTCCACATGGGTGTCCTGGTCCTAGCCTTGGGGTTCCTAACCATAGGGTCAGGTGGGATAAGACCATGCAGCCTACCCTTTGGTGTGGATCAATTTGACCCAACCACTGATGAAGGTAAAAAGGGGATCAATAGCTTCTTCAATTGGTACTACACCACTTTCACTATCATTTTGCTCATTGCTTTGACCCTTGTGGTCTACATCCAAGATCAAGTGAGTTGGTTTTGGGGGTTCACCATCCCAACCTTCCTCATGGTGTGCTCCATTGTGCTATATTTTGTGGGTACTAAGATGTATGTTTATGTCAAACCCGAGGGAAGTATTATGTCTGGGATCCTTCAAGCTTTTGTCGTTGCTTTCAAGAAACGCAAACTCAAGCTTCCTAAAGCCAATGAGATTGTGGCCGAGGTCAAATTTTATAACCCTCGGTCAAAGGGAGCGTATGATGTACCAAATCTACCTTTTACCAACCAATTCAGGTGATTTATTGTTATTTATGGCTGCCTACGCATGTGAAACGCAGTAAAACCATTTATATAGTTTTCTTATGTCTAATTGTCTATAGGTTTTTGAACAAAGCTGCTATCATATTGGATGGTGAAATTACATCAGATGGTTCTCGAATTAGCCCGTGGAGATTAGCAAGCGTTCAACAAATCGAAGAAGTGAAATGCTTGCTCAAAGTAATCCCGATTTTAGTTTCGGGTATCATTTGTTTCATCTCGATAGGTCAACAAGGGACATTCACAATATCACAAGCACTAAAAATGGACCGACACCTCGGTCCACATTTTCAAATCCCACCGGGCTCGCTTGCAGTCGTTTCCATGATAACAATCGGTATATGGCTCCCATTCTACGATCGTATCCTTGTACCATCACTTAGAAAAATCACAAAAATCGAGACTGGAATCACACTCCTCCAAAGAATCGGAATCGGCATTGTATTCTCAATTTCATCAATGGTAGTTGCGGCAATGGTTGAGAAAATGAGACGGGACTCAGCCACTAGCCACAACCAACCTGATGGGGTTGCGCCCTTATCTGTCTTGTGGCTCACCCCACAACTCATTTTAATGGGGTTTGCAGAAGCATTCGGTATTCTTGGTCAAATCGAGTTTTTCTACAAGGAATTCCCTGAAAACATGAAAAGTTTTGCGAATTCGATGTTTTTTGTGGTGATTGGTATGTCGAGTTATGCTAGTGGTGCGTTGGTGATGATCGTTCATAAAGTCACCGGGAAAAATGGTCGACCGGATTGGTTAACAAAGAATATCAATGAAGGAAGGGTCGATTATTTTTATTATGTGATAGTTGGACTTGGAGTTGTAAACATGGTTTACTTTTTAGTAGTGGCTAATCGATACCAGTACAAGAGCAAGATGGAAGCCATCGAATGTGAATCACAAATTGATGTAGAGTTAAATTGTATCAAGACTTGATATATGATCAGTTTCTATTAGTTGAATGATCAAATCTAATGATGTCGATCGGTACATAATTAATTTGTAAATTATTCACCAATAGTTGTATTTTATAGTTTAGTTGATCATTTCAATATTGGAAAATACTTAAAGGTTGTATACAATACAGCCTCATACGGTATTAACGTACCCCAACAAATTGCTTTTCAGATGGAACATCGCTTATTCCACGTTACGTTTATTATTGGGTAAGTGACGTGCCTGAAAGTCTCAAACCATGAAAATTGTTTCTAACATGTTACTAGACATATTTAACCGAAGAAGATCAAAGATGGGAGTGACACGATCCAAGCCTAGTGACAGGGTAGGTCTTCTGCAACTAATTCCATGTGGATGTAATTAAAGGCTTATTTGTAGATTTTTTTTTGTAAAAATAGATTCAAAAAGTATAGTAGAAATAAGTTAGTTTTGTTAGGAATATATAACCCAAAAAAAAAAAATATACGAACTAACAAAACCTTAAAATTGTTGATTGAGACCTGTGTTTAACACAGTTTACTTAAAACAAATTCGTCATATATGGATGTTTGTTTCCCATGATACAACAGCAGAAAACAATTATTCTAGATTGTCTGAACCCTCATTTGACCCGGATTATACATTGGTTGCAGCAAGAGAGAAAAGATGAAGCAGAAACGTAAGAGAGAAAGAGTATTTCGTTTCATTCGGTGTATCGAATCAGTCACATAGGCGTTGTATTTATACTATCCAATGTAACTGATGTAATTAAAACGAAATCGTAACTGTCACCATTAAATAAGACAATTAATCAAGAAATCAAAACTGAAATCTATGATTAATAATTGCAAAAAGGTCTTTGAACTTTTTTTGGTCGAAGGGTGGTGCACCCCCCCCCCCTCCCGCGTGCGCACGCAAGAGATAGTCTTGGTTCTAATAAGTCTTACAAAGGTAGCTAGTCTTTGTAGTTATAAACCAATTTCCTTTTCATTCTCCCACCAATGTGGGATGAGTTTAAAACTCACTTAACTCCTTTGTTTTCTCTTCCAATTGCCCTACTTTGACAAGTAATTTCTCATTCATATGTTGGAGAAAAACAAGTCACCAGAGGGGGAAAGAAAAAGTCAAAGCGGGGTGTTGACTCAAGGGCAAGGAGTCTAGACCTTCAGTTCCCTATGATTTGGATGGCTTTTTATAAGTAGCGGAATTCCTACATCGTAAATTGTGAGGATTGCAGTGGTGGCACGATGTCTTCCTTGGTTAATTCTGGCGATGCATTCCTAGGTTTTTTCATTTGATTAAGGGAAGATTAGTATGCGGGGGTTAAAGCGACGATGGTTTGTTTCTGTTTTGTGTTATCTATTCTTTGAAAGTATGATGATGAAGGGTTTCTCTCAAGATTTCTTGAGATGGGATTTATGTAACGGTGAATTTAGAGAGAGAGAGGGGAGGGGGGGAATGTCTTCTTTTATTTTTTAATTATTAAAATAAATAAATAAGTATTAAACTTAAAAGAAAATGGAAAATAAATACCACAAGGATATTACAATCATTTCAGTTATCGGAGGGACAAAATATGCAATGAAACTAGCTCAAAAGTACCACTAATCCAAAAACATTAGGGTTTTGACCAAAATCCGAAAAAAATGCATACCATAGGGACCATTTTTGTAGTTTTGTCTATAATGTTTTGTCTTAAATATATTGATACTGTATACTATATTAAGGCTATGTTTTTCAGACTAGCTGAAAAACTAGCCGGTAGCTGAAAATTTAGCTGATAACTGAAAAGTTAGTTGGTAGTTGAGAAGATAGTTGGTAGCTTATCAGCTAGCTGATAAAAAATGAAAACTAACTGATAAACTACATGAAAGATATAAAATGACATAAAAGGACATTTATAAGAATATGTTTTTTATAATTAGTTAAGTGTATATTTGAGAAATTTTCAAAAAGGTCATGAAAAGCTAGCTTATCAGCTACTTTTCGGCTTGTCGAACATGAAAAATTAAAAAAGCTCGAAAAATAAGCTAGTTGTGGCGCGTCAAACATAACCTAAAGGACATGCCATTTAGGAACAATATTGTTTGCATGGTTCAGATTTTGGCCACAACAGTTTGTTCAGATTACCAATTTTAGTCCTTGCCTGTCGTTTCCCATCAGGATTTTACGTATGCTCTCCACAACCTTGGAAATGTCCGTAGTACACCACCGTTAAAAATACTAAAATTGATTATGTATTCTCTCCACGGACTTGGAAATATCCATAGTACACCACCATTAAAAGTCCTACAATCGATACGTTTTTTAAATTTTTCCTTATCCTTTTTTCGATTTTGATCAAAAGCAACCGTCTCTCTCTCTCTCTCTCTCTCTCTCTCTCTCTCTCTCGTTCCTTATTCTATGTCAAACACACACTCCCCCATCGTTTACCCACTTTACCTTATTTACATGTTTTCCTCAAGCATCACCAACAAATTAAGGTTGCGTTTAGTTACGGAAAAACAGTTTTCATTTCCTGTTTTTCGTTTTCCCTTTTCAGTTTTCGTTTTCTGTTTTTATTTTTCATTGGAAAATTTAGAAAACGCGTTTAGTTAAAACTTATTCATTTTTCATTTTCAGTTTTGGAAAATTAGAAAATGTGTTTAGATTTGTATTTTTCTATCGGTTTTCATTTTTAAAAAACGGTAGCGGTGGTAGGGTGGGGGGAGGTGGCAGTAGTGGGTCAGCGGAGGTGATGGTGATGACAGGCGGTGGTGGTGGCGCATCAATTGTGGCAGTGGTGATGAAGGTGGCGGCGGCGGTGGTGCTGGTGATGGAGTAGTAGTGGTGGTGATGGTGATGGTAGGTCGGTTATTGTGGTAGTGGTATTGGGTGGGTTGGTGGTGTATGTACGTTTGTGGGTGTGGTGTATGTGTGTATTTATGGGGGTGGGTGTGTGTTTGTGGGTGTGTGTGTTGTCTGTTTATGGGGGTGGGGGTGGGTGTGTGGGGTGGGGGTGGGTTTGTGTGTGTGTGTTCGTATGGATGGGGGTGTGTGTGTAGGGGGAGGGGTGTGGGTTTGTTTGTGTGTGTGGGTGTGTGTGCGTGTGCGTGTTCGTGGGGGTGGGAATGGGTGTGTGTGTGTGTGTGTGTGTGTTTGTGGGGGTGGGGGTGGGGGGTATGTGTGTGTGGGGGGGGGGGGGGGGGGGGGGGGGGTGGGCTTGGGAGTGGGCGTGGGCGTTGGTCGGGCGGAGTGTGCTGGGTTGGGGTGTTAGGTGGGGTCGGTAGAGGTGGCTGGGGGTGGCGCGCGAGCATGTGTTTATATTTTAGAAAAAAATTGGAATTAGAAAAATATGGAAAACAATTATTATCAGTTTTCTAAAAATTCAACTTCTTTGTAATTTTAGAAAACGAAAATTTTCATTTTCCGTGAAAAATTTAGAAAAATAGACGAACTAAATGCGTTTTCAAAAGTCTCATTTTTTCTTGGAAATTTTTTCTGAAAAACGATCCATTTTCCGCAACTAAACGTAACCGCGGTGGAGTTGATGAAGGACAGAGAGGCTATTGTTGGTGGCGGCGTGACGAGGCATTGACGACGTCTATGTCGAAGATGTTATTGGTCGATTTGAGTTCAATTTCAGTAATGTTTTCTTCCATTTAGTGCTTCAGAGTTGAATTTTAGGTATGGAAATGAAACTGAAGTTAATTTGGTTACAATTTCTGAACTGATTTGGTTCCTTCTTCAATATCAATATCAGATGCACCATGGGCGACACCCTAGGAACAATCGATGCATATTCCATTTATCTACATCGTTCAATCAACTTCAATGGATCTACAGGGTCAGTTTTAAATCTTTTTATTTTAGATCACCAATAATTTATTCACCTTTTTATTCTTTTACTTTGTGAAAACCCTTTCCATTAACGTTTAAGAGTTGGAATTCAAGGTATGGACAACTAGTTTAGTTACAATTTTTGAACATATTTGGTTCCTTTTCCAGTTTCAGAATTAGAATCTAACAATATGGTCATATTTGTCATCTGTTACAGCGAGGCTAGACGGGTCCCAATTAGATTTAGGTTTTTGTGGCGATGCTGATGGATGGGCTCACAAACAAAACAAATTGATGTTTGGGGGTGTCTCTCATTTTTTTTTCTATTTTTTTTGTTATTCTTGAAGACTTTCCTCAAAAAACCCAAGTAATTTTATGCTTTTTGCTATATATTATAGGTTTCCATTCATAAAATTTATCCATTCATTTTTTCAGCTTTTGACGGTTGTTGATGCTTCTCTTGATACATGTAGTTATATGAATCAGAGATGGAGTTGGATTAGGTTCCATGAGAAATTTTGGTATCAAGAATCGACAGGTTGCAGTGTGTTAACGCCAAATCCATGATAGGTTTTTGGCATTCAAACTTCTGATTAACCATTTTGGGGTTCAGAAACATGTAATTTTCCCTTCTTTTTTTTTGTTCTGTTTTATAACTTCATGTTTTATAATTAAGATTTTCCTTTATATGCAACAAATAGCAACATATTGACGTTGAACTCTTGAATAGATTACCAATCACATATTCTCCATAAGTTTTATATTCTTATTTGTTTTGTTCTTTCTTTGCTCGATAGAAAATGTTTTGGATGATTCTAAAGTCCTTCAGCAAGTTGACAAAAAATCATTCTAAGTGTGGGTGGTGGAATAGTTGTCGTGATTGACGAGGTATATTAAATCTTCTCAATGTTCTTATTCACTTTCACCTTCTTTTCTTTGGTGAAATTCAACTACTTTTATGGTTACATTTGCAACATATTGCTGATGAAAATATGATTTCAAAATTTTAGAAAAAAGGTTTTCATTCAGGTTTTAAATGTCAAATAAAATTTTATATGTGCTTTATGGAAATATGAAGGAAATGTGTTATTTGGATGCATAGCAAGAATTGGTATGCTTTATTTTGCAATCAATATTCAGTTTCCTATCGATTACTGATCAATTATTCTGAAGAAATTCAGAAATGTAGTTGGATTTGTAACTTCCATGGTTAGACTTCAGTCACCTTTAAGAAGTAGATAAATTCACCTACTTGAATTTGATA